TGGGTTTTACGGTAGTCATCCTCTAAAGCATCGGGATGTTGCTGAAAGCACATCTACCCGAAGTTGATCCCCTCTGATTAAGAGCCTGGGGAAATTCTCCAGGGCTTTTATCTACAGCATTGGGACACTGGAGTCGTAATCAGACCATAAAGCAAGAATATGCCTACATATGTCAGTAATGAGCTCTTAATATTACACATGAGCAAACCTTGTAAAAAGCCACTTGGACCTCATTAATTCAGTATTTCATGACGAGGCGCTAAATGTAAAACGCTGAAAGATATAGCATTGCCCAGAGATAGTTAAGTGGGCAGGTGGTAGGTTATTTTCAGGCTGATCTATCGCAACAGTGCGATCCTACTACCAGGTGCCCAAAAATATTCGGACCACACCCGTAATCCAGCAAAGTGGCGCATCTCTATACCGCACAGCACGCACCTCTACAAAACCTGATCAGTTTCCTTAGGTTCCAGCCGTCCAATGGTCAAATGGTGTTCCATCGCAAATGCGCAAGCGAGTGCACCTGCCCTCGGCGTATGCGCCATTACATGCGAGTCATCGACTTCGTTCGTCCGTTTGGCGTATGGGCCTGTGCCAGGCCATTGTGAGCCTGGGTATCGATCCTGGTGCTATTCGACTGCGGCAGTGCATCCATGCAACTGAGTCAGGTGCCCACAAATTGCACTCTAGGGATGAGACACAGACGGACCACATAAGCCAGAGCACTAGTGGGCAGCGAGTGTGGACGGACAAGCAAACTTGACAGAACTCGCCAGTCGAACAGTCGAACATTTCCGACGACTGTGAATGCAGTCAGTCAGGAAGAGCTATATGGAAAGAAAACCCCCATCCTACTTGCAAGTGGCAGTCATACCCATTTGCTTATGGAGCAGAATGCAGAGGAATGAATCGCTTCGGATAGACGGCTAGCTGTGAAGTAAGTACAAGTTACGTTAGCTTAATAATAGGCAAATTCATGCAGGAGTTCAGCTTGCGAGATTATTTGAATGTGCTTGTTTGAGGTGATAGCGAATCGGAACGAGAGTCCTGGTGATAACAATGGGGTTTATAAGTCAAATTGTCATGGAAAATACTGGCTGTGCCTCGAAATGTTTTTCTGGGTGTGGACACATGACGCGTTATTTATACGCAGACCAACAATCTATAAATTCTTTTTCCTTTTTGTCCTCATTTAACTACTAATAACGTAGGCAGCGTTGCTGACAGAGTACAGGTTAGAAAGGCTGAAATGTGCTTACAAATAGGTTTTGCCACCTGATGCAATTGGTACAGACAGAGAAACATAATCGCAGTTTTGCGGTGAGAGACAATCCCAGTACAACAAATGGCCAACTTTGCTGCAGATTTACGTACTCAGTCATGCCACACGGTTCCAGTATCAACCACATAAGTGCATTGACGTTCACTTAAGTGCAATTATATTTACAGTGTTATAAACCTAGAGATAGGCTCTGATGATCCAATCGTGATAGAATCGTCATCATTTGAGTGCAGCAGGTCTGTAAGATGAATTTTCTGCACAGTATCACAAGACTATTTCTACCTAGACCTTACGTATGACTCAGAAAGACGGGTTTACACTGAGCGAAGTTAACGAGCTGTCAGGTTCAAACTGTAATTATAAAACTAAAAGTTGCTAACTAAACTATAACATTCACCCTCACCCTCACATTCACCAATGAAGGTTGAAGACGGACAATTGATATTCTCAGAACTAACTAGAAAGTTTGGTTTAGTTGCTTTATCCGGCTCACAGGCAATTATTCCTTGCCCGCACATCAGTTGATATAATAAGTTGAGACATTGGCCTGTGTTTGGAAGATTTCTTTTGTAAACGCCACCAATTCAATGCGCTGAATTGATAGACGGCCTCAGTTCTACGTTTGATTTATAACTGGCACTGTTGTGTGCACCAGGTTTGCCGGTCGTTGGTTTCCACGACGGTTTGCTTTATACACGACATTGTTATCACCAGGACTCTCGTTCCGATTCGCTATCACCTCAAACAAGCACATTCAAATAATCTCGCAAGCTGAACTCCTGCATGAATTTGCCTATTATTAAGCTAACGTAACTTGTACTTACTTCACAGCTAGCCGTCTATCCGAAGCGATTCATTCCTCTGCATTCTGCTCCATAAGCAAATGGGTATGACTGCCACTTGCAAGTAGGATGGGGGTTTTCTTTCCATATAGCTCTTCCTGACTGACTGCATTCACAGTCGTCGGAAATGTTCGACTGTTCGACTGGCGAGTTCTGTCAAGTTTGCTTGTCCGTCCACACTCGCTGCCCACTAGTGCTCTGGCTTATGTGGTCCGTCTGTGTCTCATCCCTAGAGTGCAATTTGTGGGCACCTGACTCAGTTGCATGGATGCACTGCCGCAGTCGAATAGCACCAGGATCGATACCCAGGCTCACAATGGCCTGGCACAGGCCCATACGCCAAACGGACGAACGAAGTCGATGGCTCGCATGTAATGGCGCATACGCCGAGGGCAGGTGCACTCGCTTGCGCATTTGCGATGGAACACCATTTGACCATTGGACGGCTGGAACCTAAGGAAACTGATCAGGTTTTGTAGAGGCGCGTGCTGTGCGGTATAGAGATGCGCCACTTTGCTGGATTACGGGTTGTAGCGCAACAATTTCATAAACACAATGTAAGGTCCGTAGGCTATGTGTTTTTCGGACTTTAGGCGGTACGTTCGTAAAATAAGTGAGCTTTACTCACACGAATTTCCAAAGACTGCCGCGGTGTTCAACGTTAGAACATAGCTGTTTACCGGCGATGCCAGTGAATTCGTAATCCTGCGTAGACTGTGGGGCGAATTACAGTGGACCTACGTCAAAATGGTCGCTAAAATATTTTTGGTGCTAGCTGCATTTTGGTGTACGCTATTACTCAGGGTATAATAGGCTAATGTAGGCTGCATATTTGGTTTGGGGTAGCGTGCTAATTAGTTGTTGATGAAACTGATTATTGTTATTACACTGCGGTAAATGTGGTGAAATCGACCACAATATGACAAGTAAGAGAATCGCTGGGAGGAACGTTTACGCAGGGGTGGCACGGTACAAAGGCTTTATTAGTCATACAGAGTAACATAAAATATTTTAACCCTATCTCATATAGAAATTTTGCTCTTTATAATAGGCATCGTAACAGCAACGGTACTAAATTGCCGCTACCTGTCACATGCCACCAGGTGAGAACGGTCCCTCACCGCTTAGTCACTACGCCGCTGCTAGGGACTTACTTTTCTTCAGTTGGTTCTCCATTATATCTCTTGATACTTTTATGGGAAGTTTAACCACAGCGCTATTCAGGATACCAAGTCCATGATTAGCCGGCAGGATTACTAAGCACTACTGAAAACCAGACAGCATACAGCCTCAATCCATTCCGCAAGAAAGACGAAACTCTTGAACAAATGTAGAGTTGCATCACTCAGAGGATCACTTATCTCCGCTGTAATTCCGTGTCAGTTTAGAATGAACATATGCTGACACTTAAATGTTTGAGTATTCTCCTTCAGCAATCGGCGAACTTTTGTCTCCGTCGCACTAATCTCGTCTATGAAAGAGCACACTTGGCCTCCTAAAACTGATTCTGTGAGCGACATTGTTATCTCACAGACAAAGACGGGTGGGTAGTACTCAACAAGCAACTAATCTTTGTCATCGTCCATATAAAAATGAGTTCCGTTCGCTCGATGAAACGCTGAATGGGCCAGTTTTCACTAATTCATCGCTTAACTTAGGCAAAGAACTCCTCGGGTTTGATCGAGGAAGTGTCAGTTAAACCCTTCCCATACTGAAGCCGGACTGAACAAAGACGAAGCTTGCATTTATTTTAAAGCACCTGAAGGATCTGATCAATATGTTCGCCAGTATCTGGACCGTTTGTTCATCAAGATGTCCCCTACGAAGTCAATCCACAGAGGCCATGCTCTCGAATCCCTTGGTTTTTCTGTGGGATGTGAGGTGCAGTTACACTGACGGAGTAGGCCTTAAATTTTCACAGGTTACTTGAATAGTATCCGGCTCAGAGATCACACAAGATGATGATGATGATTTGTTTTGCATCGCTTGCCTACCAATTATCCGGATACCAATAGCCAGTAGGCTGATAAGTCCCAATAAGGGCACATGTTACAGACAAGCAAACGTGATCATGTTGGATCTAATGTTTAGGGTACTGGCTACGGAAAATTAATAACACAATAACGAGCCTCAGTTGTTTACATCCTAAGATCGAGAACAACCAGCGTAAGATAATCGTCCAAGCTGTCAACATACAGGAAATCGTCAATGTCACGAGTCGTCAGAGATGAAGGCGCCGGTCAATCGACAAGTGGACAGAGGATCAGACGGCTGTTTGGGGATGGAATACAACAGTTAAAAGCGGTGCAATGAGTGAGCACAAGTTCCAACGTATTGGCACGACGCATGCGGCGTATGTAGGTGAAGGTGGAGAGCGTTTACAACAAGCCGTCAAGAACACACAGCGGACGTGAAGTGGGGACACTGACAGTGCATGAAGTACACACACGCAGATACACGTACAATGAGCATGCTGTAGTGCCGGACATCTGAGTAGCCATAAAGCGCAAAGATGATCGTGGGTCAGAATTTCACATATGGCAAATTCTCGCTAAGTTACTGGCCGCTGCTTAAAGTGATCAGTACCATATCGTTCGTGTGGATTACAGAAACATTTTCATCAAGAATTCGACGTTCTAGATCGCGAAAAGTGACAATTCAGCCAACAAGTGACCATGAACTGTTTCGAGCAGACTAAAACAGTGTGTGTTGTAAACAAGGGAGAAAGTTGCCGATAACTTAGGACATTCGCGTGCACCGGGGTATGGATGCGTGCCAATGTTCAGTGTTATCGGAATCAATAGTGCAATGCACTATCACAGTGAGACGTGGTCAGTTCTCGCTACATATATATATGTTGCAACTGAAATCACAATCACCAGATAAAAGGAACGGTCGAAATGAACGCTTTGCATTTCTCATTGCTTTTACTCGCTGTTGCGCTCGTTCATGGTTATGGCGAAGATTACGGTGACCACCAGGACAGTTATGAGGAGAGTACTTATGATAACTACAAAGATGAAGAAGGTACATACGGCAAGTACGATCTGTATGGGAGGCTCACGGCTCACGGTGCTGGTGGATACCATGGTAAATGGCTGAAGGGTGGCGTTGGCAAGGATTACGGACAGTACAACGCTCATGGCCTCCATTCCCTGTGGGGTCAGGCCCATCACGGTTCTCAATATGACCTTCATGGTAAACTCGCTGCAGAGGGTAAATTCCAAGCCCATGCTCATGAAGACGAAGGTGCCGAATTCAGCAAGCAGGCCAAATATCGCAAGGGCGGCTCACATGATGGGTACAAAAAGAAACGTCACTACAGTGACTATGATTCGTCTGGGACATCACGGAGGTATGGGGACAAGAACAAATCTTCCAAATTCGACTTGCGTGGCAAGATAGATGTGGAAGGAGACCACTACGCTTACGGCAAAGAGCAGTTGTATAGCAAGCAAGAAGCACAGGAAAAATACGAAGATTTCCTTGGGAACAAAGATTACGGAAAGTATGATGAGTACGGCAGTTATCAAGGTGAGAGCAAGTATGAGGCAGAAGGTAAACTAAGCGGTTACGGTGGCGCCGAAGGAAAGAAGGAATCTGGCAGGCGCGTTCATTCAAGCCGAAGACACGGAAAACCCATTCAGCACGACTATTATTACAGTTATTAGCCAACATTATCAGAGCTGGTTAGTGTTATATCTATCTCTCACCACGAAAAATATACACCCTCCGCAAAATAATGTTTTGGCTAGTAATGGAGAGTTTTTCTAACTACCTTAATAATACCATATATGATCAGTGTGGTGAAGAAAACAAGTTTAGGGAAATCTGGCACACTCAACGTTGGTGCTCATCAAGTGGATCACTCCACGATTGCTCGCTAGAATACAGCACAGATCAAGTATCAGATCCACAACTGCATTGGTGGGGCGCTGTCATTAGCTAATTCAATACAGTACAATGAAGACAATACCATATTTAGAAAGCAAAAATACGCCTGCGGTCTTTATGTGTCACGAGAGATAAAACCCAATTGGTTCTCCCGGAAACTAATGTCAGTGATTTGATTGTAAACATTTATGGATGCGATCGGTAAAGCAAATTAAAATGTTTCAATATAGACACCACCTGCGTCGATGCATCTCTTCCAGCTGGAATTCAGGGCATCAAAAGGGTTACAGTGATCTTTTCCTGGAATGCCCATAGAGCTGTTGGTGTAAACCTCTTTGATTTTGTTAACTAACCTGAAAAGATGTCCTTTCATTGGGGTCTTCAAGCGACAGAACGAGACGTTTGGGAAGGACAAGTCAAGATTACAGGGCTGCCGGGGAACCATTGGTATCTTTGAATCGACCAGGAAATGGATCACGAGAAGGCGGTGTGCGCAGGTGCGTCGCCTTGGTGAATTTTTCAATTGTCCGCGATGTCGGACTGGACACCATGAACCCCTCGATTGAGCACTTCCAAGCAGAATTGGGTTTTGACGGTGATACTGTGTGGTATAATCTCACGTTGGGCAAGCCCAATGATGTCAAAAAACAAAATGAGCACCTTCTTAATCTTTGAGTTGTTCATGCTAGTCTTATTGAAGCGAGCGGAAGCCCCGTTATGCTAATTTGCCTTTTCATTTTGGCATTGAACTCAAAGAAATATGACTCACCACCAGGAATGGTATTGTCTAAAAGTGGGGTCACCTTCACACAGCTCCCAAATTCCTTGGCATGTTTCAATCTAGCGCGAATGTTTCTCCGTTAAAAGTGAGTGCCAGTTTCGCGCGCATTTTCTCATCCGCAGATTCTTGATCACAGCCATGTGAATGGAGCTTTCTGGAATGTTTAACGTCGGTACTATTAAATGAACACCCAAACGACGGTTTACCGGTTCGATCACATGCGTCACATGTTCGTCGGTGGTTGTTGTCATACAGCCCTCCGAGAAGCAAGAAGACAGTCTGGGCGGCGATCGCAAATCTGTTTGTAAAGAACATAGGGGAATTTAATGCTACACAGTACTACTTTAACGCCTGGAGCCATGGCAAACTTTTAGCCCTCCCCTGGCAGTTGTAAGTTCCGGAACACTAGAAACCTGCTCAGGGCCAATTTCACATTCGTTTTCGATGAAACGGATGACTGTTTTGGTACACTGATGTAACTGTGGTGAAAGTGACCACAATGAGACAACTAAGGGGATCGCTAGGCCAAAGGTTCGCAAAGCTATGACAGAACGGATGGGTTATTGATCATACTGAGTGACATAAAAGTATTCAACCCACAACTTATCGAAATGTTACCCGTTATCTTCGCTAGCGAACAATCAACGTTACTATAAATGCCTTCCCCTGTCACATGCTGCTCGGGGCGGACCGACTCACCACCCGCCCCCCTATGCTACGCCACTGTACATTACTATTCACTGCGAAGCATTGTAAATAGTCGCTTCTTTCTGGCCACCTTCATGATTTCATTGGCTGGCGTCCATCATCTGTGCTCAGATGCTTGGACCGCTCGTCGCTTAAACAGAATAAAGACGCGCTTTGTTGACACCCCAAACTCATCTCCGTCGATTCATTCAGTGCTTGCGCCGATAGGTTTTCCATCTGTCTCTTACTCCCGCTCTGCTTATCAGCTGTCATCATGCGATGAGCATTGAGTTACAAAACTGTGTCACCAGCGAGCAACTCGCTAGTATTTGACTTCGACAAACACCGTGCCTGACTCACCAACTGTGCCCGATTCTGCTTTGTTTCTTCGATCGAGTGAACCTGGTAGCTTTGTGGTTGTTTTGCTGATCAGGTTTCCCGACAACTTGCCATCTCTCATCAGAATGGAAGGCCTTTTATCGGAATTCTTTGTTGACCACTACACGGCCTACGAAATAGTTGTAATACCAGTAGACCTGACTAAAGACCGCGTTTATCAAGGGAAAAGTTGCCACTACAGGCTTGATGAGTTTCACACAAAATTTGATGATCATCTTTTATTACATCGAGTGCTGCATCGCGGTTTGCACAAGGGCAAAAACGCGTTTCACGAAAATGGCAAGAGTTTTGACAGAACAGCTAGAGAAAGTCTGCAACGGTCGTTTAACAAACGCATATTAGACAAAAACGTTACCCACACCTATCGGGAGTGACGCTTGCAACTACACCACCATCTGCTTTGGTTGAGCAGATTAAACTACAACTTGATCCTGCTGTTCAATCTGATTCATGGCAAAACCTACTGCAAGTTACCCACATCAACACTGCCACACTGTTCCACTCTGGATATTCGTAATAAAGAATTAACCCTAAGTACGCTAAGTTGCTTCACATATATGCGGCCTAAGTTCTTTCTGACTACTCTGTGGAATCGACTCACAATCACCATCAGGTCGTGTGAGGATGTGCCATCATTCCGTAGTAAGCTCGGAAGCTACCTCGTCCTAGATACGAGTACGACCGAATTTCTTGGGGAAATCCCTTTGCCGATCTATTTAACGTTAACCCAGATAACGTCTAATGGAGAAATTCCAGAACTTTACGTAATGTAAGTAGCCCTCATTGTTAACAATATCCTCAAAGTGAACCAATACCTTCCACTTTTACGTAAAACCAAAGCATGTAAAATACATACATTGCTAGAAACACCGAAAAAAATAAGAAAGAAACTTCATTTTGCCCAAATAAGGGCATGATTGGTGGCATCCGGTTTCGGATTTGCCTGTCACTGTGGCCAGCCACAGGACGCCTGCGCCTACAGAGGGACCATGGGTGGCTTGCGCTGCACCACCCACAACTCCACCCACACACTCCATATCCAGTGTAAACCCGAAGGAATAAGACCGGGAGGCATGTGGATGGGAGTCACGTTTCATCAACGGAGCCGGCCCACACTCCTTCACAGGCAAGCATAAGCACACTGTATTTTGGGAATCAAGCGTACACAAGGCGGTGGCTGGACCGTATTCCGCTCCACACTGAGTGCATGGAACCACTCTGATCCTAACACGGCCACAAGGACAGTGCACCTCGTCCCCTCCAGCAACGACCAACTGTCTCCTGGAGCCAGTATGGACGGGGTGGTGGGTAATAGACAAGTGGGTAGCTTGTCAACATGCACAACAAGCGCAGCCACACAGGAGATTTCAAGCAACAGCTAATCACTTGAAACGACAAGATAAAATAATATAAACCGAATAATGCTTACAGATACGGTGACATAACTGTTCGCTAAATTAGTATATGAAGTAAGTTGGTTAGCAACGAATCCGAGATAAGTAAAAATATCCATAAGTTACTTAAAAATGCAATGAACGCAACAAAGTTATCGAATATAAGCGCAATTAGTGTAAGCAACGTGGCCAGTTAATAGAACATTATTCAGGTAGGCAGAACAAACCAAATGAAGTGGAAAGAAATTTATCCAGCTTAAAAAGCCCTAGCTTAAGTGTAAGTTGGTTTAGCCCAACTAGGTGAAGAAGCATCAAGAATGCAACATCAGCCTCAGCATGGGGCACAAGTAAGGGTATGGAATTTACTCTATATACACTTTATTTGCCAAAAATATACACAGCTTCTCGCTTGATGAGAAATACCGTTACTATTATTATAACTTCCACAAATGTGTTCATAAACATTTGACTATGTACAATCTGTGCTATGATGGTTGACTAAAAATGGGACACCAATCGTGTCCGATGTTTAGAAGAAAAATCTGATTTCATGCACGACGGCGAACCGATATAAATGGTGACTAGTGGTATGTGCTAAGATGTAAATCCAGCATTACGATCCAGAAACAACGACGTAATCCAAGCGACGAGAGAACGAGTCTAACGTAGCTCCAACTGCTCTACTTTAACTCGACAACGAGAACGCCAAGATTTACAGGGACAAGGCATTGTTAGACTAGAAAATGGCAGTTATATAACAGAGGAACAGCCGTCAAGGACACCCAGGGCACTGAAAACACCAGACTGAGTCAGCTAACGGAACATAACAGCCACAGAAGGCATAAATCACATCCACTCAAAGAGGGGTAGCTGATAGTGGCGATTTCAGATGTTAGTCATTAGAAACAGGGACTGTAAACGGCCACTAAGGCTGCCGAAATGATGCGTTAAAACAAACATTAGGAAGTGCACACAACAAACGAAATTATTGCAGTTACGAGCTGTGAAACTTTTCCCCCAACGACCAGGCTGTGTCGTTCAAAAAATTCTAACTCCACTACAGTACCAGAGAGATAAGTTGTAGCAGCCTGGAGATTCCCCGGTTTGCCTGTGTAAAATTCTAACCAAAATTCTTTAATTGTACTCCTAGGCAACCGGTGTGGTTTGTTGAACTGATTGCTGAGTTCGAATGCTTGCCTTGCTCATCGCCATTTTTGCTTGGCGCTCGTTTCGGTTGCAACTCGCGACTGACCTGTGTGCTGTGCATTCTCCATTCCCCTAGCTAGAGCGTCCACGGTGTCGTTCATTTATAGCTAGGTAACAGGGAATATTTTACCGTGCCAATAAAAGTTTCCCTGCAACTCGATCCGTCTTCTCGAATCGCTTTCTGGGCTCCCGGTACAGACGACCCTCTAAAAAGTGCACAATTTTTATCATGCTAGCTAAATGTCATGCGAAATATTCATCCTCGGTGCCTGGTGTTCTGAGTTGATTCTGTCACTGGAAGAGAGTATTAAAGAAAGACGTAGGACAATGTTGACAGGTGATGTCTTCACTGCGCATGATAATGCACCAGTTCCCGCAGCCAAAATATCAGAAGCCG